TAGGCGCGCGTGGAAGGGGCCCGGAGCCGACTAAACGAGGCGACTCGATCGAGCGGGCAAATTAGACGAGCAGGAGGAGGAGGAGAAGGAGGAGGAGGAGGAGTAGCTCGTTAGTCACGACGTTCGATACTCCCACGAAGATCGAGCGCGGCCGCTTCCGAAGACTAGAAAGACCGGGAAAATAATAAAGTAACGAGATCGCGGCTGGTGGAAAAAGATGGTTGGAAACAAGGTGGCCTACGCTCTCGAGGTGGAGACGGTTGACAATTTCACGGTACATCGGTGATCCGTGGGTGGATCCGACCGACCGAACACCGCCACTAATTATGTTTTTAATTAATCATCGCGTTTCGTCGCGGGCAAAGTTTACTCGTCCACGCTCGTTACGCGGCCTAATAACGCGCGTCGCTCGTCGAGGAAACGGGCGACAAAGTTCACGCCCCCTCCCCCTGTAAACCGAGGCGGCCGCCTTCCTCCTCGTTATATCCTTCCTTCTCCTCCGCTCCTTCTCTCGAGGCGACACGGCTATCGAAATAATCCCGAACACCAAGCCGGGGAGGAGTGGTTCGCGGCGTAAATGACCCGGAAACCGTCTGCTCTTCGTGGGTAAAAATACGGGCGCTGAACGAAAATTTCGAAGCGGAGAGAGAGAGAGAGAGAGAGAGAATAAAGAGGGCGCCGCGACGACGTCGTTAACGGCGCGACGTTAATTATCGTTCGAACGATAATTATCGCCGTCCCCGAACCAAATTGCTCCACCGCTGCTAAGCGAGCGAGCGAGTAAGCAATTCTTCGTCGAGTTAATAAAACGGATGTCCCGAAAAGTTGGCGACCAGGTGGTGACGACTCTTTCCTTCGCCGTCTCTCGGACGGCACCCTGTCGCGAGCCGAGCTTTACGAGTTCGGCACTCGAGTTTACTCGCTGTTTCGCGAGAGGCGAAGGGAGAAAGAGAGAGAGTGGAGAGAATGATTCATCCGGATCGATGCGCGAAAGGCGAGGAGCAATTTATTGGGTCGTTGAAAAGCCGAGGGGCCCGAGATCGTGACCGTATCGTCGTTGCGTAAGAGGGTCGTTAAGAGGGGTCCTTATTTCGGGGTCAGGTCCGTCCCCGTTTGGCACGAGCGGGCCGTGGCTCGATTTCGGGGAACCGATTCGAGCCGTGGTGAGCCGATTTGACGAGGCTGCGGCCGGTGTCGCCCGGCCGAGACTCGATCGAGCCGTTCCACGAACGCGGGTAAACGAATAACCGATTAGATTCGACGGATCCTGGACCGTGGATCGTGAACTGGATCTCTAAATCACGTGGGCGCGCTATTATCCGCGGAGCGCCTGCGGAGGTGATTCGCGGAGGGAAGGATGATCGGTGGAACGATCACGTGCGTGTATCGGTGTATAGCGGTGGAAAAATGGAAGACAAAAGGAAGAGCGTGACTAATGCTCGGAGCGATCTATAGCGGACGAGTAACCTGTTATTACTAATTTCGTTCTGACATGTTCGGCCGGGCATCGAATCGAATACCACCTCCTCCTCCTCTCCTTCCTTTTAATTCTCTCTCTCTCTCTCTCTCTCTCTTCCCTCCTTACCTCTCGAATCTCGAGTTAAATATAACTTTACTCTTTAAATTCGAATTCCAAGCTTATGCTATTTTCGCGTTATCGACTTCATTAGCCATCTGGGTCCGGTCTTGCCATTCCTGTCACGAGAAGGCGGGCCCGCGCCTTTCGTTTCTCGATCGAAATATCGGTGCTCGAAATATCGAGAAGGATATATATATATATATATATAGGAAGAAAGGGAACGTAGTAGGTGAACGATCGAGACGCGAGATCGTAATTAGCGTATCCCCTGATTGCGGGCCGCTGACAAGCCGACGCCTGGAGCCCGCGTGTCACGGTATTAATCATAATGCGCGTATTTGCACGCGGCTCGGATGCGCGCGCGTGCGTGTCGGCGCGCTGACAGTTCGTTTGAACGCAATTAACGCGCCGCCGCCGCTGCCGCCGCCGCTTGATAGTCGTCGGCGCGAAGCCTCGCCTATCGCGGCCAACGATCGTCGAATCGAATTAACCGTTTCGTCGAACCCCGCTCCACGCGAAACGGTCCACTGCGCCCCGCGCCAGGGGAGGAGGGGAGGGGGGAGATATCTCGAGAGTTCTTCACGCTTCTTTTCAATCTCTCCTCGCTCACCACCCCTCGGCGAATCGAGGGGTGTGGATGGGGTCGGAGAAGGGGAACGCTTCTCCCGCTTTTTTAAAGCGGAAAAGTCGACGCGATCTCGCGAGAAACGGCCACGTTCCGGTCGAGATATCGAGTTTTTTTTAACGAAAAAAAAAATGGGGAAAAAAATACTCGAAGCATGAACGCTTTCGAGAATGGTGGAAGAAGATTATTTCTACTTTTTAATCGTTGGCAAAAGATTTTTTTCCTTCGTCTCGAAGCTTCTCCCGTCTCCCAAGAGATAAGCAGAATCGAATATCTTACCTCTTGAAAAGGAGGGGTGGGTGTAAAATGGAATACGCGCGAAGATGGATCGAAAACGAGGCTCGTAACGTCTCGGGGCTCAACTTTATGAATATTATTTTCCAGCAGATGTCCCCGACGATAGAACCTCGTCGTCGTCGTCGTCGTTGTAGTCGTCGTCGTAATTAATGACATCTTTCCGGGGGTTTGTCGGCGAATTCGGCGCGAGAAAGAGGAGGAAGGGAGGAGGAGAATTTGAGAGGTAAGTTGGCCGGCGATAAGGGAAAACCGGTGGATGGGTGGATGGCGAACGACAATGCGCGAGAATTATCCCGGAATGACGGGGTAAGTTTTAAAGGCAGGAAGCCGACATTAGCGCATTGATACCTTGCGCCATCGGCCGCGGACCATTAATATTACTTAGTTTACGGGCGTAGCTCGCGACGGGCGGGGGTGGATGGATGGATCCGTCCACGTTCCATCCACTCGTTTCCGCGATTCCACCACCCTCTCCTTCTCTCTCTCTCTCTCTCTCTCTCATTCTCTCCCCCGCATTTCTCGGGAAACGGTGGATAAAGCGAAAAACCGGCGTGGATACAAGGGTGCACTCCTCGTCCGGCTCCTATTCCCCAGTTTTTCGAGGGCCGCTTCGACTTGTGGCTTATGAGATTTAATTGCGCGGATCGGCGGAAAGACAAACGAGCGGAGCGAGTTTCGCGGCGGAATTCGGGTTTCCGATGTGACGCGGGCTCAACGGCGGGATCAACGGCGACAAATCATCGGGATTAGAACAGGGAAACAGGGGGTTGGATCGAGTCGCGGATAGAAAGAAAGACGGAAGGGTGAGAGAGAGAGAGAGAGAGAGAGGAAGGGGTTGGAATCCGACAGGGAGAGCGAGATTTCGTCCGGCGGGCGTGAGTTTCGTGAGCTTGTAAAATCAAAAGGACAAACAATTAATAACCCCGCTACCGACGATTAATCAGAATTTAACTCGCAGTTAAATACTCTGGCTGGGATGGACGAGGCGAGTAGCGAAGCTCGGGGAAAGGGATACGACGGCGGTGGCGAGGGAGGGTGGGCACGGTGCACGCGGGATAAACAAAGGTTTACATCAGTGTCAGTCGCAACAAGTCCGAATTCGTCTAGGGTTCTCGGCATGAATATTCACGGTGCTCGCTCGCTCGCTCGCTCGCTCGCTCCGTCCTTCCCTTCCCTTCCCAGCCCATCGTCGTGCCCGTCGATTCGCCCACCCTTTCCCTCGCCTCGTCCTCGCTCCGTGTATCGCTCCGCACGGCTCCACGACCCATTTGCCACCCCCTGCGATATCCATCGAACGGCTACCGGTCAAAGGCTGAAATCACAATACGCGTTTGTCCGGTTGACGAAGTCGACTCGGAGAGGGACGGGAGAACCGGGCGAAAGCAAATAGAACGAGAGAAAGAGAGGGAGGGAGGGAGGGAGTGACGCGTACGAAGGGAGAGGAACGAGCCAATGGTCATTGCCTTTGAATTGGAAATTACGTTTTCGCCCGGTCAAGTGTCGATTTTCATCCCCCCCGTATTAACGAAGGAGAGGTAGGGAGGCTTCTCGCTCACCTCGCCGCAGCTTCCTCCTCCTCCTTCTTCCTTCCAACCACACAGGGGACAAAAGGAGAAACCCCTCGCTCCTCATCCCCGTCTCGTCTCATCGAGCAAGAGAGAAGGGAAAGACGCTGGAACGCGAACCGAACGAAGAGAGAGAGAGAGAGAGACTCGCGCGGCCAAATCTCCCCGATCAGTGTAAAAGGAAGCTGCGTTGTCCGTGGTCCGACGCGCGAGTATTTCGCACAGGCAGTCGAATGATTTAATCCCCGAATGATGGACGGGCACGTCGCGACGATGATCTGCGTGCCGTGAAGTGACAAGTGGTTAGGATCACGGGGAAACCTCGGTGGCGGATGACGATGGGTGATGGCGCTTGATGGGCGATCCGCGCCCGGTGCGGATACGTAGAGAGAGAGAGAGAGAGAGAGAGAGAGAGAGAGAGGGGTGGTGGTGGTGGTGGTGGCGGTGATGGTCGGTGGTCGACGTTGGTGGTGTCGTATCGGTGACGGCGGGACCCATACGGGCTGGTGGCGGCGGCGGATGGATTTGAGGACGGTGCGGAAGGAGGGTGCGCTCGCACACCGTACAAATCATGCGGGCATTACAGCGTCACGGCTGGACTCAACCTGTCGCGCGGCCGGAAACTCGATGCCAAAGGTAATGCTGATTTATCGGGCGCGAAACGGTCGCGCGTTGCACCGGCGTCCGCCTACGTTTCCCGCGTCTCGCGGCATCGTTTTTCTCGCCTCCCTCCCTCTCTCTCTCTCTCTCTCTTTCTATCGAGAACTAGAAAAGTATCCCGCACGAGTTCAATTCTTCTTCTTCTTCCTTTCTATTCGTCTATTTTCTTTCCTTCCTTTTTCTTTTTCTTTTCTATTCTTTTCCTTTCTTTCCCCTCTCCCCTCCCTTTTAACTCGTATTTACAAGTACTACGCATTCAATGCATTCCTCCTACCTTTCGAGATGTTTGACAATATCTTCGTAGGCAGCACGGCAGTTTTCCCAAACCGTCCCGGACCTGTGGATCATAAAAAAAAACGACACTTGAGATACGACGGTGAAACGTGAATACAAGCGAAGATGCACGATTGAGGAGAAAGAAGAGAGAGAGAGAGAGAGAGAGAGAGAGAGAGAAAAAAAGAACGTGTTTTTCCTTTCGGCCGAGATCCCGCGAAAGGTCGGAAGGGGGAGAAGAAAGGAGCGGGGGGGTTGATAAGCGAATCGGTTAATTATAAGCCTGCCACGGGATATCCTCGAAGGAAAGTGGATCCGCAGAGTTGATTAAGAGCGCCTTCGCCTCGTGCCTCGTCTCGGCCGTCTTTCGTTTGTCCTTTGATTCGATCGCGTGCTGCTCCAACGAAAACGAACGCGCTTTGAAGTCGTTGATTAAAAAAGACGTCGTCGGTCCCCCTTCCCCCTCCCCAGAGTCCCGTCCAGAGTCTCGTCGCTAATTTTCCACCCGGAGTCGATGGAAAGAGCGTATCGGCCGATTTCCTTTCTTTTTTTTTTTNTTTTTTTTTTTTTTCTTTTTTTCAGAACGATTGCCACGACGACGACGACGATAGGAGAGGGGGGAGGGCGCTACGCTTGGCCGCGGCGAGAGAGCGAAACGGAGAAACGGGTAGGTTAGGTAGGTGGTCGCGGCAAGGGTTGAATCGGAGGGTGGAGGGCAAACGGTGCGCTGACGGCTCGGGATGGGGTTGCGTTGAATTAATCATATTCCGGTGTTTGTCGTGCCGCCCCCAGACGTAATCCGTCTTACCTCCCGATCTCTCTCGCTCCTCTGCCACGATAGATTTGCATTTTAATTAAAAGCAAAGCGCTGAAATCATAATGCGAAACGTGCGGCGCCGCCACCGCCTTCGTCGCGTCGTTATACGTACGGACGCGTACAGCCTCGGAAGGACGCGACGCCGACCCTTCCGTTCCTTCTTCGACTCGGATCGAACGAATCGAATTGATGGAGTAATGACACGGATCGCGGAATCCCCCTCGAAAAGCCCCGTAGTTGGAAAACGGAGATCCACGGAGGAGGGAGTACTAGTGCTGGCAACGGCATCTATTAGAAACGCGTTAACAAATGCTTGGATTAAGCGAAAGCAGTTACTAGATCCCTTTTGCTGTGGAGCAGGATCGTCGACTCCTTCGACGGACTACTGGGCGCGTCTTCGTTTCTCCTCTGCACAGGGGCTCGCGTTAAATCCGCGATATACGTCTCGAGACCGCAACGCCTCCAAGATTATTTATCCTCCCCCCTCCCCGTTCGAGGTGGATCTCGTCGTTCCTCCCAAAGGGAACGACGAGCGAGTGTAAGATTAGGTCGGAAAAAGGAGGAGGAAGGGGAAATTTCGTCGGGTCGGATCGAAACTCTCCGCGATGAGATCGATTCGAAGGCGAAGGCGAAAGGGCGAAGGGAGAGAAAGAGAGAGAGAGAGAGAGATTGTAACGCGAGCCGAGTAAACGACCTAGAAGGAACGCGAGTCAGCCAAGGAAACGGACTTGGATTCCGCCATCGAGAACGCGAGTGGAAGGCGAGAGAGGGAAGAAAAGATCAAGCGGTGTCGAGACCCCTCGGATTTCCACGGCTTCGCCGTCTCTTCAAATCCTCTTAAAGTTGTATTCTTTTGGCCTCGCCGCCCCTTTCCTCGCGACTGTACGCAACAACGCGGAACAAACGCGAGCTCTATCGTCCCGAGCGGATCCCGCGCTTCTCCCGCCAAGAATCTCGGCGCGGATCCCCCATCTTACCTCGCCAGCGCCTCCATGTTGGACATGTTCGGGTTCACCTTGAGCCCCTGCTCGGCCCGCGCCTGTGCCTGCGCCTGCAGATGATGCGGCAGACTGGCCGGCGACAGGATGGCCGTGTGCCCTGCGCCCGGATGTCCGCCCAGTTGCATGAATTGCATGTGACTGAGGTGCGTGGGCGGGTGGTTGTACCCGTTCGCGAGCAGCGGCGACTTCTCCATCCTCGGCACATCTGAAACCGGAAACCAGCCAAGTCTCGCGTTAGTCTCGGGGGGAAACGCACGCCAGGGGTCGATACACGCCGTCCTCCCCGCAAATACGCCGTATTTGCCGAGAGGATTTTCCGCGCTTCGAAACAGGCCGTGTATCTTCGTCACGGGGTTCGACACGGTCGGGGGACGACCAGCGACGAAGATAACAGCTTCAACGTTTGCGTCGTCGAACCAAGCCCCGATACCCTTTTCGGGATTCCACCCGTGCGAGTGGACCCCACGGACCCCATCCAAGATGATGCTGTTGCGAGAGAGGTCGAAAGGAGGGCAATATATATATATATATATATAGATGCAACGAAAGGCGAGGGCGAGAGAAAGAGAGCGTTGGAAGGGGAGAAGGAGGAGGAGAAGAAGAGAGGGAAGGGGTAGAAAATGAGCGGTGCCTATTCATTACAAATTATCTAAATGGCAGTGATTTCGGCGGACCGGCTGGCCGTTTGACGAGTAAGTGGCGGGTTCGCTGGACAGTGACTGTCGATCCCGCGGATCCCGCCACGGTCCGCGACTCGGGACGGGGCGACGGCGTGGATCGTTTGACAACCACTGTGGGACCCCGGCCCATGACCGGCCCTAAAATTGGACTTATTACAACTTATAGAGCGCGATTTGAACGCTCCGCTCGATAACATACATTATCCCCAATCCATATGATTTAATGAAATCCCTCTAAACTCTCCACTTAGCCTCAGTACCTTCTCGCGCGGTACCCTTCTCTCCTTTTTCTCTTCCCCTCCCTCCCTCTCCTTTCGTAGATTGCTACGTGTGTGCACCGACGTGACCGAGAGAAAAAACCCCACGGAGGGGCAACTGAGACGGAGAGAAAGAGAGAGAGAGAGAGGAGAGTGCTAGCTGCGCGGATACGAGCGGGCGGGGAGGGAGAAAAAAAGGGTACGGGGGTGAAAAGGGTCGTGAAAAGAAGAGAGCGAGAGAGAGAGAGAGAGAGAACAGCTTGGCACGTTCCGATCACCGCTGGATCGCTTAAAACGCACGTTCCCCGATTTTATAACCCCGACAACGGCTATTTGCCGGTCGCGTATATATATATACATATATATATACGTACCACCGTTCGTACCGACGTCGTAACGCTACGACCACGACCGATGAAGACGTTTCGACCGAAACCTGGAAACCCTGGAAACCTCGCGTCCAATTACCCTTAACCCTTTTTTCGAAAATTCGAAACCTCGTCGATTTCGTTCGCAACATTCTTCTTCCACGTTCATCGCGTGGTGGATGGAACGGCTAACCGGAGAATTGGGGGAAAAAAAAAGAAAGAAAGAAAGAAAGAAAGAAAGAAAGAAAGGAAGGAAGCAGGAGCCGAGGATCTTCTATCGCGGGCAGAGCGGAACGCGAGGGGGACGATAAAACACAATTTGAGCTAAAGACCGCGCTCCTATAACTTCCCACCCCGTGAGCCCGCGCGCGGACGTATACCGCCACCTCTTTGCCCCTCTCGTGGCTGATGAGGTGACAACCCATAATTATACAGACCGCTTTCTGTCTGGGCTGACTGCAGTGGCATGCGGAGGAGAGGCCTCCATCATCCTCCTCTTCGCCTCTCCCTTTCCTCGCCGTCCTCCCTTCTCCTACCCTTCGTCTTTCCTTCTTTCTCGTTCCTTCCTATCTTCGCTCTCTCCGCGCTCCTTCCATCTCGTATCATCTTCGGATCTCGCTTTTTCATCATCCCCCTTCGCTCCTTTCAACCGCACGGTGGTTTCTCATCCACCGTTTCCAATCCCTACTCTAGTGCACGCCGCTCGCAATAACGAAACAACGCGCCGCGTGTTCTCGTTCCGTGTGCGCTCACCGTGCGTATATAACGCGGTGTATAAGGTGGTTCGTGGCGGAGGCGGAGAGAAGCGAAATCAGCAGTCGGACAGTCGGGAGAGCGTAGGAAGGCGGAGGGAGTCACCGACTAAGCTACTTCTTTTCTGGTGTTAATTACGAAACGCGAGAATAAATTGGCGAGTCAAACGAGCGGCCGGTGTACCCTCTCTCGGCCGCGACCTCGTCACGTCTGTTCCTCGTTGGAGGAGCGGCGGCCCTCCGCGACGGACGGATGAATGGAAGGGCGAGCCGTCCGTCCCGCGCACAGGTGGAATTCGTTATGCGTCGCGATCACGGCCGTACGCTTCTCCCTCTCTCTCTCTCTCTCTCTTCCATCTTCCATCCATCCAACTCCTTCTTCTCACCGAGAACCGCTACGATTCTCAGAGAGAATCCGACGTTCTCTTCTGTCCTCCTCTCGATGGAGATCCTTCGAATATTTCCAATTCGATATCCGCCTCTTCGGTACGTAAAAGGTACGTACAGCAGGGGAGAGGGAGAGGGAGTTTTCCTTCCTCCCTTTGTAGTCTTTTTCTCGGCGTGCACGCCGACGGGCCGCCACTTTCTCCGCTCGAACGACCACCACCGGAGACCAAGGTATCGTGAAATTATTCGGAAAATTTGCCCTTTGTCCGCGGAGCCTCGGCAACCCCCGCAGCTCCCGTCATTGTTCTTACCAAACGGCCAAGAAATCGACCGAATCTTCTCTTTCCGCTCTCGATGCTCGACCACGGTCTACCGTAACGCTTGTTATTTGCGCTTATAGATATGTGTATGTATATATATATATATATATATATATATGTTTACCCTCGACACCGACTCCCTCAAAACCTTCGGATTTAACCCTCGAACACCGACCCTCCGGCTACGGCCGATGACATCGTGGCCCTTTAAGTACCTTCCACGCCGCTCTTCTCCCCTCCTCCTCTTTCTTCTCCTCCCGTTCGTGTTTTCCTGCGCGATTCGCTCGGGATCGGGAGCCCCACGGAACTTCTCGGTGAACTACGCGGGGAGAAACGCGGGGCCCGTTAGCCGGGGCCCCGTCGTGCACGTGCATCGCATCCAACATTGTTCCCCGACTCGTGTATTGGTATATAAACACGGGAGACGGGAAACACAGTTTCGCGCAGGAGGAATCCGGTTTTTCAAGTAATCGAGAGAAGCCGGGCTAGCAGGCGAGCGAGCGAGCGAGCGAGCGGGCAGGCGAGCAGACAGGCAGGCGGGCAGCCATCGAGGTAGCTCCCTGCGTCCAGTCTGGAAACAACCAGGTGAGAGAGAGAGAGAGAGAGAGAGAGTGAGAGTGGATGCCATCGCTACGTATATCGCCTCCTCTTCCTTCTCCTCCTCCTCGCCCCTCCTCCTCCTCTTCCTTCCTCCCGCTGCTCTTCTTTCCTCGCTTTCCTCTTTCACCACACCCATTCTTCTTAATCGAGCTCGCCCTCCCGTATTGAGACGTAGCTGTCGTCTCGAGTCGCCGCGAGTCAGCCGCCGATTTCCATCCCGATTCCCATCCCCTCCGAATTTATCATTCTCCTCCTCTTCGTTTCGATAATTTCCATTCCGACGAGATTCGGGGAGGGGAAGCGAAGAGATTCGGTCGAGATCGAGAAACGGAGCAAGAGGAGGAGGAGGAGGAGGAGGAGGCAGGAAAGTGATGGAAGGAAAGATGGAAGGGAAGAGGAGAATATTGAGACGTAGGAGCTACCTTACGGAAGGCGGGTGAAAAGGTATAAGATACGGTCGATGATTCTCGCGTAGTGACCCAAGACCGCGATAAGAGGCTCCACGTCCAGGGTTTCCTGTTCGAAACCTCCCCCCCCCCCACCCCAACCCCGTCCCTTCGAACCCGTCCGGCTGCCTACCACGCGTCCTCTCCTCGCGAAAGAGCAGTCCGGTATTTGTTCTTCCAGACTCTTCTCGGATACGAGCATCATCCGAGGGCAGTAAACCTTTTGATATATAGTCGAAGGTTTTTAGAGTTCTGTCAGCCACGCCCACAATCAGCCTTAGTATTATTTACACTCCTCGTGGTTTGTAGTCGGTTGTCTCGCATCTTCGTCCCGCCATCCATCCGCCTCCCTTTCGTTTCGTTTCGTTTTCTTTTTACTCGGTTTCGCGCTCTCCTCTCGCTCGTCCCGTTTGTCTCTTCGACAACGTCATCGCTGGTTTCTCCTTTTTTTTTTTTCCCCCTCCCCATCTTCGAAAAATCCCCTTTTCCGTTTTTGCTTTCCCGAATCGATCGATTCGACACGACCTCCTCGATCGAACGAACGAGGAAAGAAGATCGTTTTCGCGCTTCGTCCCACGTAGGTTGGCCGGCACCGCGAATTTATAAAATTAGACACGATCGCGCCACGATCCATTCCATCCTCGCGAAATTATCTATTCCGAGGCATCGTACGCGGCCGATCGTATATAGCCGCCGGCGCGGATTTCGAATTTCGCCCTGCGACTCTGGCACGCAACTCCTCCCGAAACTGAGACCGCATATTTTATTCTCGAAATGATGATGATACGCACGAAATCTCCATCGCCACGCTGTTGTTCGATTTTATCGCGCCAATTCGACGCCGCCGGTCCGATTCTCGCCAATCTTCTTCTTCTTCGCCCCGATCGCACGGAATCGCAGTGGCGCCGCCGATTCTCCGTCCCTCGTAAAACGACTCTCGAAACTTCGACTTCGTTCCGTTTCGATTCCCTCCATTCCCAACCATCCATCCACGCCGTTTTTATTTTCAAAACGGAATATATATGTATACACTTCTGGTTTGGAATCGGGAACGAGAAAAAATCCGAACGCCTAATCTCGAAGGTAAATCTTCCCCGCGGCCTAATCAAAACCCGAGGATCGTGGGCCAACCATCTGCCCGTCAGCCAACGCCGGCCAACGTTGCAACACTCCGATACTTTTTCACGTGTGCTCGTAACATCGGTTAATCCTCTGTATAAACATTGTATTGTATTTCGCCGGGGATGCTCCCATTATATCATATTTTGTTATTAATATCTTCCGACTGGCTGGGCCCCAGAAGCCGGGACCGGGCCACTTTTGTGCATTCGCCGAAGGTAAACCTGCCTGTAGCACGGTTGAACGGGGGTAGGGAGAGAGAGAGAGAGAGAGAGA